AAATTGACCATTAGAAACAGCAAAACGATCCTCGTCACATCTTCGATGTCATGTTCTTGTTTTTTCTTCATCAATTGATCCAGGGTTGCATTTAGATGTTTAACTTGTAGTCGCTTCACGGATTGAAAGTGCCTTGCTACGATGTCATCCCTCGGTTTATGACTGTTTTTTTTAAACGTTATATTCATGCCGGTGGCGCCGCTTTTTACCCCAAAAATCAATTGGCACTCAATAGGGCTTAACTGAAGCTCTTTTCCACCAATTATAAATCGACGTTTATTTTTGTCGTACGTCACGAGAATTTTATATATTTCTTACAGACTTACGGACTTCCTGTGTTGGGATCTCTCTCCTCAAAAACGGTGGTATAAATTCTGCAAACGCGGTCCTTTGAACACATTCAACGTGACGTTCATTGAAATTATATTTTTTGAAGAAGCGGACAACAGAAACGAGTGTTGCACGATATTTCGGATTTGGAACTGCTGGTTCTATTTCCTGCTCAACTGGTGCCCTCAAGCTAGGTGTTGTTGATTTTGTCTTCACTTTTTTTGACGATGTTGAACCGGCATTTAAAGGCGTGTTCCGTTTCTTTTCCGCGACTGGTTATTGTAAAAAAAATGATTATACGATATTGAACAACAAATGTACGCTTTGAATTCCAATATGCAAACTCATAACAAAAAACAACAACAATACTAAGTACGAAATCATAACAACAAAACTAGTAAGTGCAAACTCATAATAAACAAACGTTGATTGAAACTACCACTAACGAAACTCCTCAATGCTATGTGCAACTTTAAAATGCAGCCCATAGTTGGTTATTGTAATTTCAATTTACATTTTTATTTTTATTTGTTTTTTTTTTTATTTTATACAAACAAAAGCCTGTCTTATGAACTTCAAAATAGGCTGCCTTATGCAATATTAACCCAACTACGTGCAAATCAAAATTTTAAGTAAATGAGTTTTTGCAAATGAAAAACGAATAAATGGGTTCTTCAAAGTACCAAAAAATATAAAATCAAAAAATTTATTATTTGAACAAAACCGGTAAAATGTAGAAATCTAAAACGAACATATTGAAATTCAACTTGCAAACTCATAATAGAGAAATGCAAATAGCAAAGTCAGAACACATAATTAGGTTCTTCAAATGTATTGTTTTAGAATAAACATAACCAAAGTCGTAACATAAACAAACCCCTCAATTTACCTGATTTCGGGCATTGGAAATCATCATCCTCCTTTGCTGTTAAGGAGGAAAAAACGGGTTCTCAAATTATTATTGAAATATTTGAAATAATTAGCAAACAAACAAAATACAAAAGCAACAAAGGAACATAATACAAAATTAATAATGAAAGAAAAAAAAATCAAAATCGAAAACCCAACATGCAAATAAAATTTTACACAAAGGATCATTGATTACCAAGACTTAATCGTGTTTTGGCCATCGTATGAACTCCAAACAACAAACCTTAAACACCAGCCGTTGATTCCGAACAATAAACAATTTGTAAACTGCAAACAGAACGAAGTCAAATTGGGCAACTGTAAATCGAACGAAGGCAAACGGAATAAAGGCAAAATGCTCAGACCTGGTAATTTGTAAACAGCAAACGAAACAAATGCAAATATTGAACAACAAATTTGTAAACAGCAAATGAAACAAATGCAAATAGTGAACAACAAATCGAACGAAGACAAAATGCAAACGACCTGGTAAAACTGCAAACGATCAAACACCCAAAACCTATGGAAGGATTCAAAATTCGTGGTGAGATTTTCGCTTTGAAGAAACATGGAAGAAATCGATTTCCATATTTTTGCAATTATAATTTTCAGAACAACAAACCCTAAACACCAGCCGTTGTTTCCGAACAACAAGCGATTTGTTAACAGCAAACGAAACAAATGCAAATAGTGAACAGCAAATAGAACGAAGACAAAATGCAAACGACCTGGTAAAACTGCAAACGATCAAACACCCAAACCTATGGAAGGATTCAAAATTCGTGGTGAGATTTTCGCTTTGAAGAAACATGGAAGAAATCGAATTCCAGATTTTTGCAATTATAATTTTCGGATTTGCAGTATAATAGGGAGAAAAATAGGGGATTTGATTTTGAAGATATATTTTACCGTATATTAATAGGGATATTGATAGGGGTACTTTTGACAAATTATAAATACAAAAATTTGCTGAAAATTAGAGTTTATTAGATGGATTTTAACACATATAATCTCTTATAGGAGGACCTATAGCAAATTGCCCCGATTAAAATATTATTTTATATATGGAGATATTTGCCAAAAATTGATTCACTGCAGCACTTAATGAACAAGATTCAATTTCCCGTCTGAATCGGTAAGTGCAAAATTGTGTGATTCAGAGATCCCAATCAAATACACTTAATGACAAATCTGCTGACCGAATCTGAATAAAACTCGTTAAGAGGTCCATTAAGTGCAATCAAATAGGGCCTCAATGGGTCTATTTCTATCTTTTCAGTACTATTTTTAATTATTTTTATTGTGTAAGTGCAAGTTACGGTTTTAATTTATCTCCATCTCAAGTATTTCGTCATCAAAATTTGAATATCACCAATAACTTTTTTACCAATTCCGGTAAAAGACCTACCGATTAAATGAGTTTGTAAAATTATTTATTTGTTTAACTAATTTGATGAGATATTCGTTTTATTTCTTTACACATTGTAAGCTTCAAAAGTTGACTGAAGGGTTGAGGAAAATAATTCTTTTTATTTACTATTTTTGACCTTAAAAAAATTATCAAAATGTTTGACCGTTGAAGGGTAGAAAAATAAAAAAAGGGTAAATTACAAACACCCCCCTGAGGTATGGTCAAATTACAAAAAAACCCCTCTTGTTTGGATAATTACATCTACCTCCCTCAACTATGATTTTTTCTTAGACCTCCACCTTTATGGTGCCAAATTCAACATAGTCATCTAGATTACGTGAAATGTGCTCTAGTTTGTACTCTTTTTGTGTAAAAAATACAGTTTCCGATGCACCACAAACTGATATATACTAGCTAAAAATCACATATTATGGTGATCTTGCTTCATAATGTAGAGTTTGAATGGGATAAAACGGGTACAAAAGTGATAATATTCCATATAATCTCGAAGATTCCACTAAATTTGATGAGTTGAGGGGGTGGTTGTAATTATCCAAACAAGAGGGGTGTTTTTGTAATTTGGCCATACCTCAGGGGGGTGTTTGTAATTTACCCTAAAAAAAATGGTTTGACATTTTTTGACCATAAAAGGTTTACAATTAAAAATAGAGTAAAAAACAGTTTGCCCCCTAAACTATGGGCCGATTTGCACTTTACCCCCCAAACAAAAAAAATTTGCACGTTTTTACCTGAATTCGTTAATTCGTTGCACGGTGCCCCCTAAACTCAAATTTCCGGCAATTTTGACCGGAATGTTAAAACATGTGCTTTGCACGTGAGATTTTGAAGGGTAAATTCGTCCCTTCACTTGTATCTTTAATAATAAATGCAAATAAATATTAAAAAAAAAAAGAAAAAAGAAAAAAGAAAAAAAAAAGAGAAAAAAAATCTGTCATCCACCCAGGCTCCTTCCCAAAAATCCATCAGACCATCACCGACCTTCTTCCCAAAAACCCATCACACCATCACCCATCTTCTTCCCAAAAATCCAATTCATGCCTGCAAAAAAAAATCTCAAACACTAATTTAAAAAAAATCCAAAATTCTCCTGGAATTACTTCGGCAATTGCTTGGGTGGCGGAATAGCGAAAATCGAGCACAAAACACTTGTCGGAGAAGAAGGGTTTGTAATTGCTGCAGAGGCTATAACTTTGTGAATTCGGTGGAATTAACCGGTGACGGTTTTATCTGAAATCGATCGGTGCCGTTTTGGTTGGTTTTACTGCTATGGCGTCCCCCTTTCCTGCAAAATCTCAAACGCTGCAAAATTTTACCCTGCAGCATCTCCGGTGGAACAAGGACGGTCAATCCAGCGGCGGCCAGCCCCACCGCCGCCCCCGCTCCGTCAAATCTCCGTCGAGGAGACCTAGCCCTTCCTCCGCTTCTCCTGTTCGCCGGTCTCCTTTCCGGGACTCCGTCTCGTCGACACAGCCTCGGTATCAGTCTCCGCTGCGAGATTCGGCTGCTCCGGCGGCGTCGCCGCCGCCGCCGCGCAAGTCTTCGGATCAGTTGAGAAAGAAGTCTCCGACCGGCGGAGAATCATCCAAATCGTATCAAGTCGGAGGGTTTTTGAAACCCTCGCCAATTGGTGCTGGCGGTAATCGCGTACGGCACTTCCCCAGTCCTGATTTCGCTTCGCCGCCGGAGCCTTCAGGCAAGGGTAAAGCTTCCACAATTGAGCCCCGGAGAAATCATCATCCGAAGAATTCGCCCTTCGATAATCCAAGGAATGGGGTTTATTCCACAAATTCCGATCGACCTTCTCACAAATTCGAGACGAAACCTAGGGCGAAAGAAGCCGATGCATCTGGATATTAAAAACAGGGTGAATAACAAAGACGAGGTTTTGGAGATTGGGTCGTCTCTTCCGAAGGGCGAAGGGAAGAAGAAGACTCAATATATTTTTCTCTTTTTTAGTTTTTTGTTTTTTTTGTTTTTATTTCTTTTTTTGTTTTTTAAAGATTAATTTATATTTAATATACAAGATGTAAGTGAATAGACGAATATATCCCTGCAAATATCAGGTGCAAGGCACATGTTTCAACTTTCCGGTCAAAATTGCCGGAAAATTGAGTTTAGGGGGCACCGTGCAACGAATTAACGAGTTCAGGTAAAAACGTGCAAATTTTTTTGTTTGGGGGGTAAAGTGCAAATCGGCCCATAATTTAGGGGGCAAACTGCTTTTTACTCTTAAAAATATGACTGAAATTACCCTTAATTTATTAATTTCGGGTGCATCTTTGAAATAACCCTTAATTTACTAAAATAAATCATATCAGAGACATGGCGGCAAAACTTATTCAGCAAAATCGAAAACCCTCAAATTCCCGCTTCAATCCGAAAAAAAAACCCTCCAAAAACTACGCGCCCATTTTCAGCATATACAAGAGCCCCCGTCCTGTTTCCCATTCATCTCCATTGCTCACGTTTTCTACTATCTCCTTTTAACAAAATAAGATTTGGGGTTTCCCCCTTTTGTTTTATTCTGCTATAAACCCTAGAAGGAATTGAAAAAAAAATGGCGAAATCAGTTAGCCCAGATGCGATATCTTTTATTCTAGCGAACCCGTGCCCTAATTCCTCTTCAGATCTGCCGGAAATCATCGTACAGGTGCTTGATCTCAAGCCTCTCGGCGTCAAACACACGTACGTGTTCATTTTCTCTCTCTTCTTTTGTTTTTCTAATTTCAGAAACAAGTTTACGAAATAATATAATTCTAGTTGTAATTGTGTTTTCTTTTCAAAATTTATAATCTATAGATTTGATTAATTGGGTTTATTTTTGCTTAATTACAAGCAAGATCTGAGCTTTGTTAAAAGTGATTGTGTATTTTTACTTAAAGCCGAGATCTGTTTCAGCCAGAAACATGATTAATTGTGTTCATCGATATTTAATTTTACATAAAAAAATAGTTTACATCTGTAATTACAGGTTTATGGCGAATGATGGGAAAATGAAGGTGAAGGGTCTATTGCAATCCACTTTATCAACTGAAGTAGCTTCTGGTAAAATCCAGGATCGCTCTCTCATTAGTGTTCTCGACTACACTCTCAACGACATCCCCACAAAAAACGAAAAGTAATTTTATTTTTTGGTTTAAATTTCCATTGTATATTTGTTGATGAAAATTGCAAGTTTTAATTATTTATATTTGTTATTTAGGTACTTGATAATATCAAAATGTGAGGTTGTGGGTCCTCCTCTTGAAGAGGAGTACACAGCTGAAGTGAAATCCGAGGATGGCGGAATTGCTAAAAAGCCTAAACATGAAATTGATGTTAAGATTGAAACAAATAATAACGAAGCTGCTGGCATTTTTTTGAAGCCAAAGCAACCAGTTGTCACTAAATCTGCTGCTCAAATAGTCCACGAGCAACACGGAAAGTAAGAATTGAATTATTTGTTTTGTAAATTCTCTAATTAAACTTGTTACATGTGTATATTTTAATTCTTACATGTGAGATTCTTATTATTTGCAGTATGGCGCCTTCTGCGCGAATGGCAATGACACGAAGAATCCATCCACTCGTTTCGTTGAATCCTTATCAAGGAAACTGGACTATTAAAGTTCGTGTGACTGGAAAAGGAAACATGAGGTCTTACAAGAATGCTAGAGGAGAAGGCTGTGTGTTCAATGTAGAGTTGACCGACGAAGATGTAAGTCAACCATTGAATTGAATATTATATTATATTCACCAGTAGTTTTCTTTTAAATTAATTGTGTTTGTCAATATTGGTTCAGGGAACACAAATTCAAGCAACAATGTTTAACGAGGCTGCAAAGAAATTCTTTGAAAAGTTCCAGATGGGAAAGGTTTATTACATATCAAAGGGAACACTCAAAGTAGCCAACAAGCAATTCAAAACTGTGCAGAACGATTACGAAATGACGTTGAATGAGAATTCTGAGGTCGATCAAGTCAACAACGAGCCGTCTTTCATTCCTCCAACAAAATTCAATTTTGTCGCAATTGATGAACTTGGTCCGTATGTCAATGGAAGGGAGCTTGTCGGTAATATACCCTTTTTTTTTTCTTAATCGACTCAATAAATAAATAAATAATACTTTTTGATTCAGACAAATAACATAAACGGATTGTGTTTCTTTTGATTGTTACAGATGTTATCGGAGTGGTTCAGAGTGTTACTCCTACTATGAATATTAGAAGGAAAATCAACAATGAGACTATTCCAAAGCGTGACATAACAATTGCAGACGCGACGTATGCCTTCTAATTATTTTTTTTTTAATTTTTTCCGCATGTTGTTTCTTAATGTTTAAAAAAAAATACATCTCGTGGATATTATTTACAGGAAGAAAACTGTAGTGGTGTCCCTATGGAATGATCTTGCAACGAATATCGGACAAGAGCTGCTGGATATGTCTGATAAATCTCCTGTAGTTGCAATAAAATCCCTCAAAGTTGGTGATTATCAGGGTAATAATTTCATATTTAAATTTCTTCTTAAATAAAAAATTGGATTTATACTGTTAAGCTGAACAATGTGCTTCAATTGTTGATTCAGGTGTATCGTTATCAGCAGTGAGCAAAAGCGTAATTGTAGTCAATCCAGACTCACCCGAAGCTGAAAAACTCAGATCTTGGTAACTAATACATTTTTTTCAAAACCTTTTTTTTTTCTTAATTTATCAACTACTTGTTCTTACTGAAATGTCAAATGTTGTTTCAATTTTACTAAATACCCTTTTGACTTCGAGCAAGATTTTGACCTTTTTTTAGTTTGATTTTGGCAAAATTCAAAACACGGAAATTGTAGTCATTTGAGTTAGCTTTCTAATCCAACTTGAATCAGTTAAATTGGATGTCTGATGACAAAGTTATGCATGAATGATTTACATTTGAATATTAGATAACCCAAAACATCAAACTTCAAACTTGTGGGTAGTGTTCATTGATTCGTGCATATCTTTCTCACCCGACATCCAATCTTGGTGATTCAAGCTGGACTAGAAAGCCAACTCAAACAACTACAAATTCCTTGTTTTGAGTTTTTTCAAATTCAGACTCGAAAATGGTCAAAATCATGTTTGAAGTCAAAACGGTTTTATTAAAACAGAAACGACATTTATCACATCCCTTGTTCTTTTTTTTTTTTGAATCTACATCCCTTGTTCTTATTGTGCTAATTAATGCGTGTATATATAAATAGGTATGATTCTGAAGGCAAAGACACTAGCATGGCTGCTATAGGTTCTGGCTTAAGCCCTTCGACAAATAGTGGATCACGATCTATGTATTCCGATAGAGTTTCACTATCTCATATTACCAGTAACCCCTTGCTGGGAGATGACAAGGTACTATGCTTTTATTATATCTTAAGTTGTTTGGGACAAATAAACGTTCATTGTGTACTTGATAATGAAATTGACATGTCGTTTTCTTTTGTTTATTATGCGCAGCCTGTATTTTATTGCATCAAAGCATGTATTAGTTACATAAAACACGATCAAGCAATGTGGTATCAGGCATGCAAGACGTGTAACAAGAAGGTTACCGAAGCTGTTGGGTCCGGTTATTGGTGTGAAAAGTGCGAGAAGAACGAACAAGATTGCAGTCTGAGGTTTGGAATTTATTTATAATATTCATTTATAATACTCTTTTAGGTAATTCATCGAATGTACTAAAAAAAGTTCAATATTTGTGGTGTTACAATACAGATACATAATGGCGGTGAAAGTTTCAGATGGAAGTGGCGAAGCATATCTCTCGGTTTTCAATGAACAAGCAGAGAAACTATTGGGATGCTCGGCAGATGAGCTAAATGAGTTGAAATCTCAGGAGGGAGAGAGTGCTTACCAAATGAAACTAAAGAAAGCGATATGGGTTCCTCACCTTTTCCGAATCGGTGTAACTCAAAATGAGTACAACAATGAGAAAAGGCAGCGCATAACTGTCAAGGCTGTTGCTCCCATCGATTATGCTACTGAATCCAAGTTTTTGGTTGAAGAAATTTCCAATCTCAAAATATCTAAGTAGAGTTTGTTGCGTATTACGTTTTGTTACGAAGATTTACTATGGGATGATATGCTTTTTCTTGCAAATGATTGTAATTTATATCCTACAATTGTTTTGTTAGGATTTCAAAATCCTGTAGAAAAATCTTCAAGTTCCGACTTTTATTTGAAGATATATTCATCATATTTTATTTCCTAAATTTCCCCTTTTTAAATATTCATCTACTGTCTATCATACATTCCTCACCATTTTTTAAGCCCTCTTCTCCCACAGCTAGGGGTGAAAGTCGGATGGATCGGATCGTAATTAGTTTTTTCGGAAAATTTCCAAAAACTTTTGGAAGTATAGAATCAATTCCAATTTCAATTCCAAAATTTTCGGAATCTAAAAATTCATTCCAATTCCAAAACGCCGGGAAATTTTGGAATTTAAAAAAAAAATCAGAAATCACATAAGATTTAAGAACATCCACGTCGATATGGAAATCACATAAAATTTTGGAATTTCATAATTTCTCAAAAATAAGAACACATCCACGTCGATAAAAATAAGATCTTTGAGAATGAAAGACATCCAAGTGAGTTCAGCCGTTGTGTTAGCCATTGCACGGTACTCAGCTTCGGTGCCCGATCGAGAAATTGTACGCTTTTTTTTTTGTACACCAAGAAATTAGATTGCTGCCAAGAAATGTGCAATAACCGGTGGTAGATTGTCTCGTCATAGTGCACCTTGTCAAGTCTCCATCAGAAAAAAACAAAAAGATCAATTCCTCGACAACCTCGTGAGACTCGTGGAACTCTTATTGGCAGTGTCACTTTGATAATTATTTTCAAGGAGCTGGTGAAATTCATTTGATGATTTTTTATTCGAGTGCGAGAGATTGTTATGACGATTCATTAGTGTTAGGACTTGTAGAAGCATTTACCAGAGTAGAAGTATTAATTGTCAATAAAGGACTTTGACACGGGGCACCGAAAGAGTACGAGAAGAGGAAATGTTAGTAGGTGATAACCACGAATAAAAATAGTTAATTATTGATTATACATGAAGCATTAACGGATTTAAATGGAAAACATAACTCATCAATGAAAACATGGTGAAATAAACATTTTTTTTTACTCAAGGGATGATAACACTTGTAAGCCTTATGTTTTTCGCTGTAACCCGCAAATACACATGGAAGCAGTTTTGGATCAAATTTGTTCTTTCGTGTATCCCAAGTGTAAGGAAAACATTTAGAAACAAAGACCGTAAGTGCGGAGTATTCATGATGTGTCCCATGAATTCAAAATTATGGTGTTTCAAAGTTTATAATGGATGATGGTAAACGATTCACAAGATAAACCGGCGATGCGGTTGGTGGCTTTGTTTGCGCTGCCAGTAGCGCGGAGAAGGAGGGTGGGTGGGTGTAGTGGCGGCGGTGGCGCCGAGGGTGGCGGGCGAGCCGCGGAGAGGGGGCTAGCTAGTTAATTGGCCGCGACGCGGGTTGGGCGAGCCGCCCCGTTGGGCAGCGGCGCAGGCGGTGGTGTCGGGCTAGCCATCTGGAGCCGGCGAGCCGCTGATTTGGGTAGTGGAGCTGGGAAATAAAAACAAAAAAAGCTTCATTAATGTTGAAAACGAAAACGGAACTTGATTTACTGGAGAAAACTATAGAAAACCACTAGGTGGTGTAGACGCGACTAGCTACAATAGAAAAAACAAAATAGTTGTAGAAAAAACTACCTTTGTTAGGCGAGACTACTTTTAAAGTAGAACCTTCCTTCAGACATAGAATTTCTGGAGGTTCGTCACGTTCCAAGTTCTCGGATCTTGGCGACCACCTAGATGTTGTTGTAGATAAGCTCATGTGTCGATTACTTCCACGACTTTGTTGGGACCCTCCCACATAGAGTCAAGCTTGCCTGTGGGTCGTGAAGCTTCTCCGTTTCGTAGTACGAGGTCCCCCACTTCGAATGACCTAGGCTTCACATTGGTGTTATAGGCTTTTGTGATGCGTGCCTTGTGCATCTCTTTGGGGTCGGATTATTTCTTCTAACTTCTTGAACCACATGGACTCTTCTTCTCTTCGCGCCTCTTGGTGTGTCGTCCCAGTCTCCTCTGGAACTAGGCGGAAAAGTTAGTCTATTGAAAATCCATGAATGATGTTCGTGTGGTGTTAGGCGATCTCCGGGGGCTTGCCCTATTCCCCATGGGGTTGGAAACTTGAACTAAGTTGGGGTTGATCCGACAAAAACTCCTTTGACGCCAAGTCAGATGCTAACAAAGAGAACAAGATAGAAAGCACGAGATCAATAGAACTCAAGAGATTTGTTGGAGCGTACTTTTTCCATGAGGCTGAGGTCTTATTTAGAATTAATTAATGGCAAACTCCTAATTAGAGTATAATTCATTAATTCTAATTAGGTCTTTAATAAATATAATTGGCTTGAGCCCTTAATCCAGTGGACTCATTCTTTTGGGCTTTGGCTTCTGGCCCAATATAGTTAAATAATTAGTGGACCCATTAAGGACCCACTTAGGCGTATCAATACGAGTCACTTCTAATTATTTATTTTTACTAATAAAATGGAAGTAATCTGGATTCGGATGCTATCATATACTTTGCGCTCAAATGCTAATATAAGGATTATTTAAAAAAATAATTTAAGTCTGGATTAGGTGTGGTAAACGAGCCGAGCCGACACATGAGCTCGATGAGCCGGCTCGAAAAAAGCCGAACTCTAACTCGAGTTTTCCGAGCTCGAGCTTTCTGATGAGCCGAGCTCGTGCCAGTTTTTAGTTGTTCATGAGCTCGCGAGCCGGCTCGTGAGCCTTTTTTATTTTTTATGTATTTTTTATTTAAATAATGTATAATAATAATATTACTAATATTATATATATAAAATATTACTAATATTATATATAAATATATATATATATATATATATATATATATATATATATATATATATATATATATATATATATATATATACAATTACAATTTAGTTTTTATATTGTAATTTTTTAAAATAATTTTTAATAATAATACAATAAAAATTAAAAAAATTTAAGAAAAAAAATGAGCTTGGGTTGGAGCTCGAGCTCGACAAAATTGACACGAGCTCGAACTCGAGCCAAAAAATAAGGAACTCGACGAGCTCGAGCTCGAGCTCGAGCCCGCCAAAAGAGGCGAGCTCGTCTCGTTCACACCCCTACTCGGGATATACACGACTTAATTACGACAACTATTTAATATTTCTTAAACTGAATTGTTGAATTGATATTAATAATATTTTCAAATCTTATAAAGTTAACATAATTGCATTTATTTACTTGCAATATTAAATAATTAATTTTTATTTTTTTCGAATTCTAAAAGCAAATAAAATATAATATAACATTTTTATGTCAGTTTTTTTTTATTATGTAGGTCAAATTATACGAGAAGAGAGTTAATAAAAAAATGTTCGATATAGTCAAATAAATAAAGTTTGTTTATGTTGCAAAATAAGAGAGATGCAATTACAAGATTTTTTTATTCTATATTTTCTGATCATCTTTTATTATTCATCGGTATACATGTAATTTGTTATAAACTTATACCTCAAAGTATTTACTTTTTGATAATAACATCAAATTTTACTGTAACATTCAAATTATGAGAGAAAGTGAAAATCAAGATTTGGAGAATTTAATTATTGAAAGTTTTCATGAGAGTCTACAACACAATGACAACTTGCCCACATCGAGAATTTGTTACAATAATGTATGTTGCATGCAGACAATATTCACTTTCGACTCAAATGACATGAAGATTGTGAGTCGAGCTCTAAGCTCCAAATGTTGGAATCGCAGACAAATTATTCTTCCAATTTATGTTGTCTTTATTTTTCCTGACTATTTATCACCAGCAATATTGTCTCTTTGTTAGTTTTTTTTTTCTTACAATATTTTTTTCTTTCTTTCCTACGTCACCTTATCATAAGTGTTTCAAATATATATAATATGGTCGTCTGACACCATTATAAGAAGAGTTACTGTTGAAATTTGTTGAGTTATGTAGACATTGTTGTTCCCTATGTATAAAAATGGGTAGTGAATTTAGCAAAATGGTCGAACAAATTAGTTGGTGAAAATACAAAAAGATCACCCGAGCCGAGTAGACTCTTTCCTTAAGACGATATTGCCCCGCTACTGTGCTTAAGGTTATTTGACAATTGTCTTCCAAGATACAACGGCTAAAGTCGGAATATGACCAATCAAAATCTCGAGTACAACGAACATTACTTTGTCTCTCAAACTATCAAATAAAATACGTAAGAAAACACTCTACGAAAAATATATTTTCGGGCTAAGAAAGAAAAATAATCAAATTGATATTTTGAATTGGAATTGAATATTTTAAAATCAATCACGAGGCATATTTATGTCTGCATGTCCAATGATTGTGAATAAAACACAACCCTATGGAAAATTTCATTTGAAAATGTATAAGCCTTTTCATTTGAATAGGTGTTTAAACTCCTTTCTAAAAATATTGATATTAATTTTTCATTGACTTTAAAATTAATTTTCTTTTATAAAATTTCCAACAAAGATACTTGCATTGGGGGTGCGTTGTGGGACGATATGTAGTAATGTCGCTCGTTAATGGTATATATGCATGCAAGAAACAATATTTGTAGTTAAATATAAATTAAAAAGGAAAAATGGCTTTATGCTTGCAATCATAGAACATTAGAACTAGTAATGTTATAGAATTGAATACGCTTCACAATATTTTTCCATTTAAAGAAATTTATTTTACCGATAAGAAAATGGAATTGTCCCTTGTGTTAATGTTTATGCGCGAAAAGAAAATATGTGAAAAAACAAAATTTGTAAAGAGCCCCCTATAAATGTTTTAGACGGCACACACAACCCTTTTGCCCTTTATGCGTTGATGAGTTGAGAAAAAACAAAAATACATGTGGGATTTTGCAATAAGAAAAGCCCCACCCCGTGAATAGGTAATTTTCAAAATTAAGAGACCAAATTGAATTCCTTAAAAAATGCAATTTCAAACTTAGTTATACCCCCATTGTTTTTTCTTTAATTTTTGGCCGATATGAAAAAAGTTTCCACCACCGTCACATGAATTCTACCGGAGAGGAAGACAACAGGTCCACTAGATGAGTACCGCACCCCCACCCCCCAAGGAATTCCAAAACATCTTTTATTTAGGGCAAAGTTCATCTTGCACCCATGAATTATGGGTTGTGTCACATACACACCTCTTAATTATGAAAAGTACCAAACACCCCCCTATATTTTTTGGTCAAACTTACAAAAAAGTAAAGACATTAGTTTTTTAATGTTTTCTTGAGAAATTGCAATTTTACCTATACTTTTAGTCTATGGAAACTGTATGTGAATTTTTAGTATTTAGAAATATTTTCAGCAAAATAAAAAAGTACAAACTAAAGTCACCATCTCCTTCATTTTTTTCCCAACATAATTCATCTTGCAAACATTACTTGAATGACTATTTAAGCAATTACTTAGCTTATTTCATTATTTTATTAAGTTGAGCGTATTTTTTTGTAGGTTATAATGGCATATCATTTTTTTGTAATTAAAATCCATTATGATGACATGTTTATAGAGTTTGAATATATTGGGAGTTTGACTTACATTGAATGAGATGTTTAACCTGATTTAAATCTCCTATTTTGAGATACTTGATTTAATTAAATAAATTAGGTATCCATTTGCTAAATTGGTTTGATTAGGATTGCTATATAAAATTGAGCTCATGATAACATCTAGAGCTGTACATTATAGTGAAGTTAAGTAATAAAAAAAATGAGCAAAAATGAACTAATTTCATATGAAAAAAATAGGAAAAATAAGGCACATATAAGTTTCGAACCCTTACACAATAGTGGTAAGAAACTCTCAAAAGAAAACACAACAAAAAAGTCAATAGGTGATTTCAACATATTCAAAAGGTATACATGAGGGGGTATTTGATACATTTCGTAATTGAGGGGTGTGTTTACGACACACCCCATGATTAGGGGTGCAAAGTAAAGTTTGCCCTTTATTTTGTTTTATTCTATTCTTATTCATATTTCAATAATTTTATGTAAATATTGGCTTTGAAATTAGGAAAAATAAGACACATATAAGCTTCAAATCCTTACACAATAGAGGTAAGAAAGTCACAAAAGAAAACACAACAAAAAAGTCAATATGTGATGTCAGCATATTCAAAAGGTATACATGATGGGGTATTTGGTACATTTCGTAATTGAGGGTTCTGTTTACGACACAACCCATGATTAGGGGTGCAAAGTAAAGTTTGCCCTTTATTTGTTTTATTCTATTCTTATTCATATTTCAATAATTTTATGTAAATATTGGTTTTGGCAGGTTCAAATAAGATTTTATTGAGGAGACGACTAAAACAAATACCGTTTCTTTCTCACTTCAATACCACCAACAAAAAAAATAGAAAATGAACAGGTAATGACGTTAATATCCTTAATAAAATCAACACGACACAAATTTTGCTTGTGGTATTGATTTTCATTAATGGTAATAATGTCATTACCTATTAATTATCTATTTTTTTACTTTTACTTTTTTTAATGTTGGTGGCATTGAAGTGAAAATAAAAAGTATTTGTTTTAGCCGCTCCATTTTATTTTTGAACAAAAATCCCAGAAATACTTTATTTCTTCTCAATATTCTGTTACATTTGCATAATGTTTTTCTATATATGTTACAATATATATACTAATAAAAATTAAAATTTTATAAAATGTATTTATTTTGATAATTTTATATGAAAACTTTGAAAACAAAATTTGGTAGCGCTGTCTGGAACCTTTGAAACCACCGCCTCCACCATCTTCATCATTAGTCTTTGTTCATCGCCGTTGCTTCCATCATCTCAGGGCCGGCTCTAGCATGCTGGGGGCCTAGGTGAAGCGAAAATATTGGGCCACTATAATTAAAATATAGTTTTTATTTTTTTATTGATGCGATGCATTAATTACTGCAAAAAGAAAAATATAAAACAAAAATAAATTTTACCAAACTAAAATAGTAAATGAAATTATTCCTTATTGTAGGACCATAAAATTCTATATTAGCGCACAAGTAAATTCATAAGGTTGCGATTTTTTAAAAAATATTTACATAAATAAATTCAAATTCATCAACAATATCTTTTTAATATAATAGAAAAAATAAAATAAAAAAATGAAATTGATAAATTTTAATTCAATATTAGAAAAAAATGAGTGAAATTTTAGTAGCAAGTAGAAATTTATGGTGTTTATTGTATAATTAAGTAATTAACTAACAAAAACATATTTGGTTTTAGTAGTTTGGGTTTTTTTTTCATCACATTAGATGCGATCTTAGGATACTGGGGGCAAGGCGAAACAAAACTTGGGCCCTAATATTATATACACTAGTATTTTGCCCCGTGCGTTGCACGGCCGAATGTTGAAAAAAAAATAATTAGAGGTAATAAATGATAGTACAAAATATATTATAACAAACTTAATAAATGTTTACAGAAAATTGTACTGAAGAAATAGATTATGTTTACAATAAAAAGGTAAAGAGTACCCAAAAATAAAATAGGCCGTCGAATTTTCAGGAAAAAAAGATTGAATGTGTAAAGGAATTTCTGAGAAAGAAACGTAGTGAAATTCCAATTAAATGATATGTCGTTGCGAGGGAAAACGCAGAAAGCCTGCGATAAGTAGTAACGTTGCATCAAAATTTTAGTTGCAACATTGTAATTCCGAGAAGAAAAAAAAGTAGTCGGAATACAAAGTAAACATGTGCGAAATGCGAATTGAATTCGAATTCGTTTCACGAAAAAAACCTGCTGAAGATGATCCTGCAAGCATTTAACATTTAATTGCATGAATGAAAAAATATATTAAAGTATGTAATAACATAATCATTTGTTTAAAATGTAAGTTCAACTGATCATCTCTAAGTTAGATTACATCCTAGATTATGCCAAAAACTAACACAAACAATAGATGACAAAATAACAGAATAAAGATGAAAGAAAAACTTGGCAAACGGAAAAGGAGAATCCAATTTCTATTTCAGGTGACCGACGTCCAGTAGAAATGCCCTTGGTAAATTGTCATCTTTAATTGATCCTGCAATAAGAATATAAGAGTTCAATCTCTTAATCTTAATCTCAAATAGTTCATATTTACTTGTTGCACTTACTTGTAGGAATAATTTCGAAGGGAATGGAGAGACGACATGAAACAATATTCCAACCGAAAACAAAACCTGCATTGATGATAAATTCTTTGTAAAATGGGAATTTGATAGAAGCGCGGATGGAATTTCATATTAGAGATGCCAATATCTCATCGGCCGCCTCCGTTTCTTCACGTGATTCCCAAGAACAACGACTATTACACTTTGTCCAACCCCATTAAGTTTAAGAAGAGTTGTGAGAAGTTACTCATAGTCATTAGATACGGGTTGTGGCCGTCGTGGATAAATATCCGTGCTCGGTTTTTATTATGTTTAGTTTTTTATTTAATTTTTAGAGAAAAAAAAACACCAAGAAGGAAAAAAATGAAAAAGAAAAAAAAATCTGATCGTGTATATATTAAAACCGAAGTAGTGGATGGTTAAATTTTGTTTTATTTGCTACGCAATTAGCCGATTTTAAAGGAAAAAACATTTTGAAAGGAGAGAAAAACAAAACAAAAAAAAGGCCTGGAACACAAAATTGGGACGTGTATGTTAAACAGAAAGTAATTGGACGGTTGTCTTATTTGCTATTAAATTAACCGAATTAAAAATTCAAAAAATTAATTAAAACTGCCATAAACAAAAAATATCGAAAATAACTCTAGGGTTACAAATATTTCACAAAAATGGATCTAGGGTTTCCGAGCAAACCTTTCATTTATATATAAAGATAAATAAAAAATCTAAATGATCGAAAAGAAAGCTAGTTATCTTCAAAAGTATCAGAAAAATGAAAACAAATAAACAAAATAGAAGGCTTAAAAATTACCATTCATTCGTTAATCTCCAACTCGTTTCTTCAATGATTTTTGTAAAGAAATCGTGACATCATTCATTATCACAGATGATAAAGAAATCCTACAGAATTAATAAAAATAATGTTAAGTTTATAAAAACAAATCCATATAAAACAAATACATATATACATAGAAATATTGATTCATAAAGAAACACATACGCACACATAATGCCACAAATATGGAATTGCAAGCTACCTTACTGCAATAGTGAATTCCAGTTTGACAACACATCAAGTACCACACACCAACTCAAGCAAATTGTGATAAAACATAATAAATCAATATCTAAATAAAAAATCACTATCCGAATAGAAAATGCAAAATGTCTTACTATATTTTCGTTATCGCAACTCCCAGCCAGATAATAAGAACACAAACATTCAAGTATGTCACACATGATCATAAGGGATAAGCAAATTATAAGCCAAAGCAAATAAGACAGGAAACCTTAACAGGACAACTTATGCCAATGATCTCGAGAAATTAAATAAAAAATACAGGAATTAGAACGACAATAAACACCGTGAAAAAAAAAAACTAAAGTATTGTAAAATTTCTAAAATTTGAAAACCATTAAAATAACGTAGTAGGCGAGAGATGGTGAGATGTTAAAATAGAACATATGTAATATCATTAAAAAAAATTAAGGGAACGGAAAAAGATGCTATTGACGTTAACAACACCATCGAGATAGAAATGTTGAGTGTAAGAACAAATAATAAATTTGAAGAGGACGTTACTTATAAACATGTGAAGAGAAGTCACTACTAGAAAATCACGATTTAGCGACGAACGTTTGTGACGGAATACATATCCGTTTCAAAATTGACCAGTTAGCTTCGGAATTTGTGACGGACTATAAATCCGTTTGTTTGATGACTATAGTTTATATATAGCGATGGCATTAGCGACGGACGTTAAATCCGTCTCTAATTAAAATATTGTAGCGACAGATGTAGCGACGGATAGTAAACTCTTCCCTTTGATATGAAACTTCACGTACGGAGATCACATACGAACAACAAAGCGGTTTGTTAATTAATAGATAGCAACAGAATTAGCTACGGAAAAAAACGCTTAAATTATAAATTTACAAAAGAAGGAGCAAATTAACAATTTTATGCCATTATTAAATTGTGTAGTAATAGAAATAATATACGGTGCTGATAGCATTCCTTATTAAATTAAATTAAGAGTCCTTATTATAAACTAATTAAATCATTAATTCTCTCTCCTTTTCTTATTTGAATTCCGATTCTTTCTCTCTCTAAACCCTTGTTCCAGAACTCTTGATTTTTCCTCTCTCTAACTTTTATATCGTCGTTTTGAGAAGAAAAAAAAAATCCCCAATTTCTAATCTCGAGCAAACACCAATTTTTAGAAGAAAAAAAATCTGCTGCTGTTTCTCGACTCAGACGGGCATCAAACATTCCACACTAGTGAGTTCTTTTTCAAATTCCCCTCCAGCGAAAGTACTTCTCAAAGCGATGTCCAAAATCAGGTAAACTTCTACCCTTAATGTTATAGATTTTCTTAAATTAATTATGCCTCTAGTCTCTCTCGGTGTATATTGATTGAATGGGGACATTATGTAGTTAAAAGAGTAAATTTAGCACAAAAACTTACGGGAATTTCGATTCTGTAGAATTACTCAAAATTTATAAATATTAGGGGAACCCTTATCTTTCACTACTAATTGGATTATGTGTATAATTTTTGGGATATTGCAGATTATATGCTGACAATAATTTGTGGCACTGTTCACAAGAGCAATTGTTTATTTAACATTTTTTTTTCTTGTGTGTAATTCATCAACTTCGTTTTTTGAATGTAGCAATAATGAGTTCTATTAGAAGTGATCGTACTTGGATGTATAATAGACTTGTGAAGAGTCGAAAATGATTGACAGATGAGTTTATAAGAGTTTACAAACGACTATCTCACAAGAAAGAATTGCTACCAGACGAATTTTATTCAAAATGGACAGAGATAGGTAAACTTTGATCACCTTATTTAATAGATATATATTGTGTTAACATAAATATTTTTTATTTATTTAACAGCTTTGATCCTTCAAGTGCTACGAGAAAATTGGTTGCAATATTCAAAAGAGCATTCAGTGGTTCATGGCCTATGTGGAAGAAGGTGCCGGATTATGTTAGAGACCGTTAGTTTAATGAATTTGAGGTATGTTCACTTTAGATTAAAAAAATTCTACAACTAGTTCTTGAGTAATTACTGGTGTTGATTTGAAACTGCATTTTATGTTTATGCACTTTTCTTGAGTGAATTTTCTAAGTGTACCTCAACATACTGTATATGCATTTTCTTTTCGAAGTGATAGTAGGCTGAATATGATAGCGTAGAATTAAGGTGATTGTCATAGTAATATAACATCATATATATGTGCAACACAGTAATTTATAGTCTGGTATAATTTTGAATACTTTAGTTTGTCTAATTAATATTTCACAAAACATGTCTTGCATTTTAGAGCTTCTCATTACTTTGAATTCTCTTTAAAAATAATATAATATTCATTGTCGGTCATGATTTGAAAATTATTTATGTGTTATTTATATTGAATACATGCAGAAGTTGTACAATTGGCCCGCGGAAGACCACACGACAATAAGAAGACATTTTGAACATAAAGGAAGTGTAAGTTTGAGCAATAGTCTTTTATTTTATTTTTAGGTGAAAGAGAAATGAGTATAGTCTACTGCTTCTGAGTTTTTTTTGATGATTCACAAAACGAAACAGAATAATGATTGGATTGATGGAAAATCAAAATCTGTCTGGGTAAGCATCTACTTTACTATAATATAAAAATGTTATGCTGCAAGAATTGAGTTCTGGATGAAATTTCTTATGATTGTTTTTTAATATTTTTTTGTGTGTTTTCAGTTACTGCTTCTGATCATGTTGTTAGACAAGTTTCATTTATTTGATAATGTATTATATAGTTTAATGAAGAAATGTATATTTATTCAATATGTATTAATTCTTAAAATTTGTGATGTTTCAGGCTAAATTTCAAACCGTCGTCAAAAGTCGTCATACAAGTGACATGTCTGGGACACAGGGTGGTGGCGAAGGAAATGAAGACGCAAGAATCGAAAATCAAGAGGAAGACGAAGGAGAAGATGGAGATGATGCATTCATGGCAATAGCATCTGCTCTTCCTAAACAAGTTATTGATAAAGCGTGGCTCGAGGCAGTTGGAGGGCCAATAAAAGGAAGAGTTTACGGTCTCGGATCGGAGTCCAGTTCACAAGGAGGTGGTCCTACATTTCATGCTCCAACCGGTTCTTCATCAGCATCATCTGTACCTTCTCAATGCTTATTTGAAACTCCTTCATTCGAAGAAGCTGCTAATCGAGCGGTGGAGCAAAAATTAACCGATATGCAGGCTATTTTTCAAGAGGAACTGCAAGCCTTGAAAACAACCATTCAAGAGATGCGTGAAAGACAACCTGGAGGAGCTGGTAGAGATGGACAGTAGCATCGCACTTATATGGTAGATTTTTCTTTCTTTATCACGACTATTTTTTATCGTTTGGAAGACGAGTAGTAGCGCTTAGCCTTACAATCTTGAAGATTGTGTTTTGAATTATCATTACGTGGATATTTAGATATGTTAGCTCAGTTGGAAGTTGTGTTTGGGTTAATTTTATGGATTTTTAGGTCGGTGTTTTTTATCTTATTGTTGACTGGATGTTGATTATGGCAGAAAGAATAGTGTTTGATTTTTATCATGTGTTTGTTGTCTTGATTTCATTGGTGGATTATGGGAGAAAGTGTGGTGCTTACTTTTTGTAAGGAGGTGACTATTCCAGTATATAATGCATTGAAATGGTTTTGGAACAGGGAATTATAAATTTAAATTTTTTTTAATTAAAATTGTATTAGCGACGGATTTAGCGACATACACAAAATTCTGAAAATTCATTTTTCTGACGGATGTAGAGACGGATTTTGCTACAAACGCCGGCGACGTAAATTTTTCCATTAGCAACGGACATGGCCATCACTGCTCAAATATCACTTGTCAAGTTTTAGCGACGTCTGATTATGCATTAGCGACAGATTTGTTCGTAGCTACGTTAGCAACGGATTATTGTTGTTTGTCTCTAAATTTAGCGAGGCCGGATTTGGTGATGGCATTTGCGACGGCCTAAATCCGTCGATAACTATATTTTGGCGACGGATTAAATGAATTAGTGACGGATATATCCATCACTAAATCGTGATTTTCTAGTAATGAGTCAACGTCAAACGCGGAGAAGATTTTTTGCAGTTCTCAAAGTCATGGTATGCCCAGCCGTTTATGCCCTCTAGGCTGAGTGGTACATCAGATAAGTGTTTCGACAAACCTGCACGTACGCAATTAAATGTTGAGGAACGATCAAATTTTTTTGGCAAAAACATGAAAACAACACATTAAAATCGGGAATAGTAATAGTAAACAAACGTACAACATAGCATTGTTGTCGTCAAATAGTAAGCAATAAAGTTGATTTGATGCCGACGACAGACTGATGTTTCATATTCAAGCGTCGCAAATTACATAAGAAGACGAAGAAGAAGAAGAAGAAGAAGAAGAAGAAGAAGAAGAAGAAGAAGAAGAAGAAATATAAAAATGAATTTATCGACCAAGGAGATAATGACCGTGACAAACACAGGGCTGATTAGGAAAATATTTTTGTTTCTCTCGAAATCGACATCAACTTGGAATGCAGGACAGACCTGGTGTGTAATAAGGAACGATTTTCTGATCCAAAAAGGAAAATAAATCAAAAAAAAGGGTTCCATGTCGATGAAGGAAACGACGAAGAATGAACAGAGAATCACATGTAAAACATACTCACTGTATTCAATTAATGAGTCTTTATGTGACAACTGCAAAACTAAGAAAAAATAAAGTAGTAAAACATAACATCAAACAAAATTGCCAGGGAGCGGTTTCTGAGAAAATCGATGAAAGAAACGGCAAAGAAAAGGAAATGGGCGATACCCACGTGATGAGGTTGAACGATGTTTCTACGGTTTGCAAATCAGTGGACGAATCCAAACATCAAGATCTTTCGATCTTTGCTAGACCTAATCTCACATCAAAACAACCAAAAAATAGAAAGGATTGAAGATAGAACAAAAAAATGAAAAACAAAAAATCCGATTACCTAAATTCAACAAACATATTCAATTACAAAAGGAAATCTCAACAAAATAACCGAGAAAAATAAGATTTCAAACCCTACTAAACATTATTTTTTTGACAAAAACCCTGAATCTAAATTCTAAACATTGATCTATTTAGGAATTCAAAGCACCAAAAAATGAAACCCTAAAAATGAAAAATCTCTAACCTTTTTTCTTCAAAAGATGTCAGCGATTGTGATTATGTAGCATTCAGGTAAATAATAGTTGTTCCTACCAAAAAATAGCTGCGCTTTGTCCCGGCGGCAACATCATTTGCCAACGACAATTTGGGGCTTGATTCTGCTGTTTAAAAATCATAATTTCCCTAAATAAACAACAAAAAATGCATTATAATCGGAAAATTGATGTAAAAAATCAGAAATTACTCCATCAAAATTGATGCAGAGATGTAGGGCGAACAATAGCTCGCACAACTAACATACATTTTCTAAACGACGAACAACATATCGATGAAGAGTAAAATAATCTTTATATAGAAAGAGAAGTCAGCAGTTGCCGGAGAGAAGTCAGTTGCCGGAGAGGTTAAGTGGGAAGATAAATCGGACCACGAAATTGAGCATAGAAGTGGGGGAGAAGTTTATGAACGTGAGAAGTTTTTCAGCGAGAGAAAAAGAGGGCAGTTGTAATTTTTAATGTCGTATAAAATGATAAAGAAAATAACAAAAATACTAATTTAACCCTAGGGTAACAAATATTTTACAAAAAGGGAATTAAGGTTTCGGACAAAACCTTTCTTTTATATATAAAGATATATAAAGATATGTTTTATTTTGTATAATTTTTTTTATAAATTATCAGAGAAAAAGTGAAAATTGCAATAAAAATCAAATATGCCTATCCAAACAAAAATAGTAGAAAAATCAATAAAGGGCAAAAAGTAAAGAAAGGTTAGATATAGTATATATCACATATTGTAGTCAGTTGGGAAAAAAAAGAGTGATAATAGTTGAGGGATAATATTTAAGTTAAAGTAAGTGATGACCCACACAATTAAATATACATGTATTATTAATCCTCTATTATATTAATTAATTGAGGGGCCTACAATAGATATAAAGTTTATAATATCAAAAATTAATGTCTACTATATGCAGATATTTTATATAATCTATAGTACGTATTAGTGTAAAAAAAAATAGGAAAAAGGAAAAAAGTGTACAGGTGGGCCCCTACTTAATGTGGGGCCCTAGGTAATTACCTAATTTGCCTAGGGGTTGAGCCGGCCCTCATCATCTACCGCTGCCTCCCCACAACCGCGCTCTGCCCAAATTTAGCCTCCAAACCTTATGGATGACTTTGTATTATATGTCAACTTGTTTATTTTGTTTATATCATAATTGGACAACTCGTTTATTTTCTCAATATCAAAATTGTTTAGATAAAAAATCAAAGCTAAAATCTATGGGTGGACTAATATAGTAGACATATCAATGTTTATGACCACTTTAATTTACCAACCGTGCATTATTGCATTAATAAATTTGATTTCTCGTTATTTTTGCTCGTAAGTTATTTGACTAATTATTAAAAATAGTACAAATATACATCTATATAATAAAAGTACACTAAACATTTAAACTTTATTGTTTCAAAATTCAAACTACTCTTTCTAAATAGATATAATTTCATGTTTGAACATTAAATTATTAAATAACCATAGGACAAAAGTCATAGATTTAAAATGCCAGTGTCGGTTTTTATTATCTTTCTGATATAAATTTGATATGCCTAATTGGACTAGCCCAATGGGCCTACAATTTCTTAATCCATCGGGCCACGAGCCCAACTTTGAAGACCACTGCAACGAAGGCCCAACCACCTTCAAATAAGGTTTGGGCCCGATAATCTCAATAAATTAATAGCAGCCCAATCAAAATAAAGATTATATTCATTTGTGAAGGTAAGTTCTAATATTTGATCGATACGACTTCTAGCATTCTCTCTACGACTTTTGCTATCTACACACCTGACTTGAGCGCCGGAGGGGTTTCTGCCGGATCAACCCCGACTTAATTTACCTGTTCTCTGATCAACAAGTATCTCGGGATCATCAAGCACGTGAGCTAGTGATCCACTTTTCTCTTCCAGCTCATCCTACCTTAACTACATAAGGTGATCTATCTCTAGCATCATCAAAATTGTTTTTGATTTATGTGATGTTTAAATAGATTTGTTAGTTTTGATTGGGACAACTGTAGAATTTATCTGAAGCAATTTATTTTCGCTTGGCCTTAATTAGAATTAAGAATAAAAAACCCTAACACAAGTGTTATGAAAATATTGTGCTAAAAATGCATAAATCACCCCAAATGTGCTAAAAATCGCACAAATCACAATAAATATATTGAAAAGGGTACAAATTCACCCAAAATGTGCTGCGAAATCGCACAATTCACCCCCAATAGAAATATCATAAATATCGATCATATTGCAATATCGTATCGCAGTATCGAGCAATATATACCAATACTTGAGGACGATAGATACATATGCCGAGTAATTGCTTTTACAGAAATTGTATCGTATCACGATATTGACTACATTATACAATACAATACTTTATTATTGTAGTATTTAAAATGTGATGCTATTACCGTACGACTGTTTATGATCATTTGTATAGAAATTGTATCATATTACAATATTGACTACATTATATAATACAATACTATATTATTATAGTATTGAGAATGTGATACCATTACCATACGACTATTTACGATATTGTATCGATTTTGTTTGGAAGGGTATTATTTATGTAATTTTGTTTCGTATACCAAAATCCAATGACATATTTTATAAAGAGACAAAGAATATGTAATTATGAAAAATCAGAAAAAAATTAATTACAACCAATCTATGAAAGTCAATACATGCATGTAACAAACAATCTTTAACAACCCTTAAAAATGATAATAAACAAAAAATCAAATGAAATATCTTATGTAATTATTCGTTGATGCTAGAATGGTTCTAACAATCTGGATTACGACGTTGCTGCAATGCGTGAATAATTTCAAAACTATCTTTATTCCATAACCAGATTGGAGTTGGTTTTTTTTTATTTTTTTTTTATTTTTTTTTAATGCAATGATGAATGTTGTACAAATAAAATTGGTGGACTGTTATTTCTTTATGGTCATGAGGAATAGGAAATACATACATTTGAAGAAATTTATCTGTTGCTCGCTCCAAAGAACAAATTGTTATGAAAGTTGCATCCACTGGAATTGCATCTTTGCTACTTCCCGGTGATAGAACTACTCATTCAAGATTTGTACTGCAATTAATTGTCATGAGAACTCCACATGCAAGATTAATCGACAAAGTACCCAAGCAGAGTTGTTGTGACTAAAGTGAATCTTATTATCAGGAACGAGAATCCCATGATGCACATGTATTATTTTGAAACATTTGATAACACTATGAAATCTATCATTAACTAAGATATATCATTCGGTGGTAGGTAGTTGTTCTTGCAGTATTCTTTTTGAAAATTTGAAATATTTTTTAAAGCATCCAGACAAGACATTGTTCATGCTACAATCAGAGATTCTGGGCGCGGTGATTGTTGAGGAAAACTATGAGCGGCTCTAAATAGTCGTTGAAACCAAGCGAGGCCATTGACGCCAGCACGCCCTCCGGTGTGACGGTTCTTCGATAGTCGTTGTGGCACCACCCATTCGCCTCAGCGGTGATGAAGCTGATGAACTCGGAGATGCATTCTTGTATAGCTTCCTTGGCGTCATCGGCGATTCTAGCATGAGTGTGGAGGATGCGCCGCATGGTGCGGGTGATATTGGCTATTGGCATGTACTGGTCTGCGTCTCTTTTGAAGCCGTGCTGGTGCTCCAGGTTCACCTCTCCAATAGCGGCGTTTGGTGGGGCATCTGCGATGTTGGCGGCATTTGTGCCAGCAACAACAGGGGCAGTTCCCCTTTCCCGGATGACTATGCCTGAATGATATATATATTAAAGGAATATTAATTGGTTAAAAATTTTTAATGGACATCTTAATTATCTCTTTATCTCGTTTACATAGGAATCTCAATACTCACTGATATGTATTTGGCTAAACTTCATATATATTTCAAATGCATATGCACATTTCATATATAATATTTTTAAAATCAAATATAACATGCACGCGATGCATGATTGATACGTGCAAATGGTAATGCAATAAAGAAAAAAACAATATTTTTAAAAAATATCTAAGTTGAAAAAAATTAGAAATTCCTACATACTAAATTTTAATACTCCTATATTTCATGTTTTCTTTTATTTAATACAACTTTATATTAGAAAATATTGATGATGTCATTAATACAGACACACATATGATGCGTACAGAAAAATGAAATATGAGTTACAATACTAGAAATGAAATAGAGATTCATCCCAAAAATAATTAAGATTATATTGACTTAAATTTCCCCGTTTCACCGGAACAAATTCGTCCCCATTAACAACCCCTTTCTAATTTGACCCATATAAAAAACATTTTTTTTGATAAATTTTCAAAATTTGTTGATTGAATTATAGAACAAGTCACTATGCATCTAATTAAAGTGAAAAAAGAAATTGTGATGAGGATATATATAAATATATCAAAAAAATAAATTAAGAGGAAAAAAAAATGAAAAATTGGAATAAAATTAGTATATGAACAAAATCCATTAATATTAACGTGGTTCCTATGCTCGACATATTTTTTAAATTACCATAAAAGTTTAAATTTATCATGACTCCCGCTTTTCAAACGTAAAATAAATCAAAATAGAATGATATACAAAAGCGAAAAAAAGATCTATCTTTATCCAATTAACACAAGGAGATCCATGAAGCATAAAAAAAGATTTGGGAACTAAAATCGGATCCAATTCATTAATAGACGATCGATTATCCAAAAACCAAATCTAGAGAATTAACACGTTTTTTGTTTACTTTCCTAACTGAGAGATGTGAAGATTAAATTAATAAGAGATAAAACAAATCCATGCACATTGTTCATATAGATTTAGTGTTAAAAACCAAATGTTAGAAAAAATTGACTGCAGTTTTTACCAGACGTGTGTGCGCTTCTTGTGTACTTATGTCCTATATTTGAGCTCCCTCCTCTCTCCATCTTCAAGTTTTACTTTTGATTCAAACTAAGTATGTTTTTCACCTCCTCTGTTTGCTCACACAATTGTAACACAATATCTTTTATGCCTCTTACTCTTGTGAGCGTGATAAGTGTGAACTGTCAAGGAACAATTGCATTCAATATATAGACAAATGTGTTGGAACCATTAAAATGAGTCCATAAATATAGTATTAGGATGCTGAAAGGCACGGACAAAATGGGCAAAAAATATTAATTGTTCGTCTACAATGGAAAGTGACCTGTTTTCTTTTCCTTTCGTGAGTAGAAAATTTTGTGGAATTGCTTGCTTCAAAGAGTAAGTGACTTATTGAAAAGTACCATAAACTTTACCAGTGAATACAATTGAGTTTATTTACATAAGAAGATGAATTTAATTTTTATGAATATTGAACTTTATTTATATAAATTATTAAGAAATAACTACAACATTTTTTTAAAACGTTTTGAGAAATTTAGTAAAAATCCTATTAAACAAATATTTCATATATATGAGTCACTACTAATTATTTATTTTTACTAATAAATAGAATTAATCTCGATTAGGAAGCTATCATTAACTCTTCGCTCAAATGCTAATATATGAATAATTCTTCAAAAAATTATTTAAGTCGGGATATACACGATTTAATTACGACAACTATTTAATATTTATTAAAAGCGAATTGTTGAATTAATACATTAATAAGAATTTCAAATCTTATAAAGTTAACATAATTGTATTTATTTACTTGCAATTTTGAAGTAATTAATTTTCGTATTTCTTGAATTCTAAAAGCAAATTAATATAATGTATTTTTGTCAGTTTTCTTTTTATCATGTAGGTTAAATTATATGAGAAGAGAGTTAATAAAAGAATACGTCCCCATATAGCCAAATATTTCAATTTGATTATTTTGAAAAATTAAAGATATCCTATTAAAATATTTTTTTAAAATTTATTTTGTATGTTGTCTATTCTATGATCATCTTTTATTAATTTTTTGATACTCACATCAAATTTTACTGCAACACTCTAATTATGAGACAAAGTGGAAACCAAGATTTTGGTTAAAAAATTGAAAGTTTTGATGAGAGTCTATAATACAATGACAGCCTGTCCATATGGTGAATTTGTTAAAATGCATATATTGGTCTGTAGATAGCTTTCGAATCAAATGGCGAGAAGATTGTGAGTAGAGTTCGAAGCTTCAAAAGTTAGAATTGTATATGCTCACCTGTTGGTAACCAAGATTTATCACCGGCAATATTGTCTCTCTGTTGGTAATTTTTCTTGCAATATATTCTTTTCCATTTCCAATTATATATGCTCACCTGACTCTGTGATAAGAAGTTACTGTTGAAATTTGGGGTGCCTTATGAGACGGTAATTGTGTTGTGTCTCGTTAATTGTATATATGCATGCAACAAGAAATTTTTCAGTAAAATATAAATTTTAAAGAAAAAATGACTTTATTATTGCATCATAAAACTAGAAATGTTATAGAATTAATTACGCGTGACGGTATTTTTCCTTTTAATGTTTATTTTACTGATAAAATAAAATTGCATCTATCCCTTGTGTTAATATTTATGTGCAAAAAAACAAAAACAAATCGGTGAAAAAAACATGATTAGTGCTTTAGACCTAACACTCAACCCTTTGGCCTTTTACGCCTTCATGGGTCGTGAAAAGATCAAAATACCCATGGAAATTTTGCAATAAAAAATCTCGAGCTCTTGAATAGGTCACTACCAACACACAAGTGTTATAAAATAAGTGTGTCGAAAATCACATAAATCACCTCAAATGGGGTTAAAGTCGCACAAATCATGATAAATCAAAGATGCAATTGCTCAATATCACCTTCAAAATGTGCTCACATTCACACAAAATCACCCCAAAATGTAATAAGAATTGCACAAATCACCCCAAAACAAATATCGCAACTATATTGCGATATCGTATCGTATCGTATCACGAAATCAAGCGATAAATTTACCAGTATTTAGACGATCGATATATATTTATAGACACACACACACAAATATAGTAGCGTTGGAGGAATATTCCATAGAACCAAAAAGATTCAGTCAAAACTATCGTTGTAAGGGGGACTTTGTAAGATGCCAACATAACTTTTGGGGTTTTTCGTAGCTGCCAAACATGAGAAAATTTTCGTAATTAGGTCTTACCTCAAGGGATTTCTCATAATTTGCCATTTTTAAAATTAAACTTTCGACTATGAGCTTAGTTGATTAAGAAAATTGACTACTAAATTCGTAGTTGAAATATCAACCCCTCGTTCCACTAGGATAACCAATAAACAAATACACATCCATCTTTGAACTCGATTTATACACATTCGATTTAAGCAAGTGTGTTGGGCAACCCCACACATGAATATTGCTCAAGGTAGGCTTTCCGGCAAGCTGCAATTCAACGGGAATGTCGGGCACTGACTTAGACGGGATTCTATTGAGTATGTGTGTTGTTGTATATAATGCATATCCCCTAAAAGAAATAGGCAGAGTTGCATAACTAATCATAGATCTAACCATTTTCAAGAGATTCTTTTTTATTCTTTCCGCAATACTATTTCGTTGTGGCGTACCCGTCGCTGACAACTGGGATGAAATCTCTTGTTTCACCAAGAAGGTTTTAAATGACCCTGCAAGGTATTCGCCACCTCGATCAGAACGAAGTGACTTGATGTTTTTATTTAAGCGTCTCTCCGACTGAACTTTAAATTCTTTGAATTTATCATTTTCAGATTTGTGGCACATTAAATATATGCATCTGTAGTGAGAATTGTTGGCAATCGGACATGTGTACGCAGTGAAAAACAAAAATTTTATGCGAATTAAACGAATTTAAATCACATAATCACATGCCCGATAATTGTAAACAATTAATTGCGTACCTTTGCGCTTCCAGCGAAATTAAAAACAACATATATGCGAATTATTTAATCGACATTAAATAAACTAACATGTTCGCATTGAATCAATTAATCATGCTTGCAGTAAATTACGAATTTCATGTAATCACATAATACATATAAATTCATACAATATACTTACGATGCGAATATACATATTTAATCTAAATTAAATCAATGTCGAATAACTATGGATTCGAAACTTTACCTCTTGAAGCGTGATGTAGGCGCAAGAAACGAACCAAGATTGCCACGGAAACCAATCCGTGCAATCCGGGAGCGGCGACGGCAAAGCGGCAGCGTCGACGACTTGAGCAACGGCGGCGTGTGAGGATCATGCGTTGTCTTCGGGCGGCGCGTGGGAGCGCGTGCGTCGTTGGCTCGATGGCTGCTCCTCGATTCTTCGATTCTTCGATCTTCCTCCTCTCGGACTTCACCTTGTATACTTCGATTTACTAAAACATGGCACTAGACATGAAATAGTTAGAATAAATGGAAGAAACGAAAAGAGAAAAGAACTACCAAGACGATCGGCACAGAGATGGCCGATTCCGGCGAGATGGTGGCGACGGCGGTGGTGGTGGCCGCGGGTTGAGGTTGGCCGAGAGAGAGATGAGAGCGGCTAGGATTTTGTATTAGGGTTGTGTTGTTTGCAGGACCTATAAATCAAGTATTTATAGTGTCTTGCATAAAAGCCCTAACGGGCTTAAGTTGGATCGGGCCCAACAACTTAAGTTCGTTACTTCTTTACTCGCTCGTTTCTCTCGATTCAATGATCGGAAAATTGTAAGGATTACATTTTCGGAATCATTATAATGTCCTCATCATTACGAGTGCCAATTCTCGATTTCCAACTTTCTAAAAGTGGAAACCCTAATTCAGTGCACTT